CCCCCCCCCCCCCCCCCCCCCCCCCCCCCGATTCCAATCGCTCTCTGTAGATCACCACTTTCCAAACAGTTATCGATTTCAAAAGGGACATCGACGATTAGTGCCACTTTGCGATCGATTAAGTTTATCTTTTGTCCGAAAATTCCACGATAATTATTGTGAGCATTAATTATTATACCTGAATACACCTGTATGCATTCAGGGGTTTAGTATCAAAATACCACCGCAATGTTTACGTTGTATATAATATCATATATGTATATAATATCAGTTGATGGACATGTTGTTTCATTTTACGAAATTTAATCGCTGTGTGATTAAATTAATATTCCATAAAGTTTGAATTTGTTATTAGATGTACAGTATTTAAGGAATGTTCCGAGATAATGCAGAGTTTAATATCCGCATAATGAAATAAATATACATGACGCACATCGCATGCCACACTAGATGCTTTTAATAAAGGCGGACTTCCAGCAATTTCTATCTCTTTTGTAAAACAAGCATTCTTCTGAGCAAATGTCGATCTTCCTGCCCGGAGAGTTTCGATTTCGATTTCGACCATCAAACACCGCCGCACGATTTATTACTAGTACACAACTAACGCGAGCTTGTCGCGTCCGGTAGTGATTAGCGACGCTATTGGTTAATCTGTCGGCGATTATGTCGAATTCATCGGTGCAACGTGCGGAATTCGCTCGACTTCCGATTTAATTATTGCTATTTACCATTTCGAATTCATGATGGAACGTTGCTACCGATCGAATCATTGCCCTTCCACTACAAACGCAAAGCTCACGATTGGAATAAAATTATGATGGATTTTAGTCATCTTATATAATTATTACCAACACAAAATCTCATTATATAGATATGATGTTAAATATAATATTAATTATTACAAAATATAACTTTAAAATAAAATAAAAAATACTCCCAGACTAGTTGATTACTTAGAAAAAATTAATCATTCTTATAATTTTTTTATTCCCACGTATATATGTATGTACGAAACGTTTAACATGATATGAATATGTCGGCATTCAGTGGCATTATCATAATCAGGGTGGCGATCCACTTTCTTCTCATGAATGATCACGAACGAGCTGATCGAAGGACGGTGCGATAATTCGAAAAGGTGAACAGATGAAGGGGGAAAAAAAAAAGTGGAAAGCCGTGAGGTCCATGTAAAATGCATCGAGCGACTAGAAGAATCCTTCGTATGCCGTGTCCTTTCCCCGTGGGGGACCTTCGTTCTCCAAAATGGCGTGCCGCGCGATACGCCCGACCCTTCTCTCTACGTCGTCGCACATGGGTGGAGGCTAATTTATTCATTCGTTCCTTTTTACCCGGCGGTAACACGTACCGTACTTTCAGGGCACCCTTTGTAAAAAGGGTGGCTGGGCGGACGCTTACGGCGCATAGCAACGTGCTCCGTATTTACGTTGCCCGATTTCCCGCCTTCCCACTCCCCTCTCCTCTTCGCCACCCCCCCGACCATCGCACACGCCGTTACTACTTTTCCATCCCCCTTCAAACTCACCACTCGTTCCCCCCTTCCGACGTTCCGTCCGGCCATCCCGGTCTCTCCCGCGTGGAATCCCACCCTTACGCAGTCCCTTTCAACGAGCCCTTTTTGTAAGGAGACTGATTTTTCAACGCCCTCGCTGATGCAAGGATGGTGGGCGGATGGTTGGGTGTCCGGGGATGTTTCGCCTCTCGGAGATGGACAACTACTTATTAACCCCCGGCAACGTGGCCTACCTTCCTAGGTGAATGCTTACTTCGGGCGCGCACGTGGTCGTGGTGGATATACCGGCCCGGATCACGCCGTATTGGTTCGCCCTCGTGACGAGGCCCGCGCGTCACTGCGTTCGATCAGCGCGTGTCAATACGCGCACGCGTTCTCCGCGATTCGAGACACGTGCGCGCCGCAATCGGCCGCCGCCGTCAAGGAATGCTGCCGCGAATGCCCATCATTCCGGTTTCCCGCAATGAATGTCTTAGGATCGCTTGCAGCGAGACCGTTTATCGCCGACATGACTCCATGCAAATTGATTTCTTTCCACATATCAGCTCAAGATTGTTTTAAAAGCTGTAAAACACCTGATTCATTATAATGAGCACTATAATCTGATTACTATAATGAATTTTAAATTATTTTTTTAAATACTTTA